GCCCCATGGTGCAACTCCGTGATGTGGCCCCATGGTGCAGCTCCATGATATGGCCCCATGGTGCAGCTCCACATGAAGCAGGGGTGTCCCACTGCACTAATATTGTTATGCGAGTGGACCAGGAGGATCTGGAGTGAAATTCCACCCAATCCTACCTGTCTATCCCTTTACATCCCACCAACCTCTGCATTCAAACGATCATTCTCCACCATTTCAGAGAACTCCAGCAGAATGCCACCACCAAACACATCTTCCCCTCGCTTCCCCCCGTCTGCATTTCACAGGGACCATTCCCTCCAGGATACTCTAGTCCCATTCCTCCATGGTCACCAACACCACCCTCCCCTTCCCATGGCACCTTCCTATGTAACCGCAGAACAACACCTACCCCTTCCCCTTTTCCCTGTTCACCATCCAAGGGCCTAAACTGTCTTTCCAGTTGAAGCAGCATTTACACCTGGACCTCCTTCAATCTGGTCTACTACATTCGCTGCATCCGATGTGGTCTACTCTACATTGGAGAAACCAAACGCAGACTGGGTGATCGCTTTGGGGAACACCTCCGGTGTCTGCACAAGCAGGATCCCAAACTTCCTGTAGCCGGTCATTTTAACACAGCGTCCTGCTCGCGTGCCCATGCGTCTGTCCTCAGCATGCTGCAGTGTTCCAGTGAATCACAGCTCAAACTGGAGGAGAAACATCTCATCTTCAGACAACCTCCTGGACTGAATATTGAGTTCAACATCTTCAGATTGTGAACCCATTCCCATTTCTTCCCTTTCTTTTAGCTTTACTTGTTACATTCTCCGTCACCAAGTCCTCTCCCTCCTCTACCCACCCCAGTGTCTTTCCAGTCTGGCAGTTAGACACACCATTGCTCTTCCATTCTCACATTCCGATCACTTTACCTGAACTATCAACATCTTTTCTCCCCAGCACTCTACACCCGACCACCCTGACACCCTCCCCAAACAATATTTTGCCTCCATACCTCCTGTCAGCTCCAATGAAGAGGCATCTTGACTCGAAACGCTAGCTTCCTCTCTCTCCATGGATGCTGCCTAACCCGCTGTGATCTCCAGCATTTGTTGCTTTCAGTGTGGGCCTACCACTGGTTAAAACCAGTCACTGAGCTAGAAGGAATGGTATCACCCTGAACCTTGCAGTCATGTCTATCTCAGGCTCTCCTCACTGTCCATGCTGGAGTTTCATTGTGTTCGAGTGGGGACAGACAGACACAGGTTGAGGTTCTGGAAGCCGTGAGCTACTGGAAAAGCTATTTGGTTGGGAAGTTTTAGAGGCGTTGCGGGGGGGATGTGAGTGGTGAGTTGGAGATTGCAGTCTGACCCACTAAAATAGTGAGTTTTCAGGAAAGTGGAGGGGAAAGACTTCCTTAAATTGCAGTGTACTAGCGAAGTTCTCTCTCACTCTCTTGTCTCTCCAGAGCGTTGACTGATCTGCTGAAACAGCAGAGCCATCACTCCATGGACTACATCGAACATAGCGGAAATTTTGGAGCCGTTCAGGTCCCCATCACTGACAGCCTCACACCAAGAACACCGAGGAGCAGTGTAGGTATGTTCAACCCCTCGCTGGACGATCAGAGTTAGCCAGGGAGTGCCAGACATTGAAGGCCCTCCTGAGTCAAGGTGAGATTCCAGGCCGTGTGAGGACAGGACCTCCAGTTGTGTTACTCTCCTGCCTTTAATCCTGGGCCGTGGATCTCAATTACTCCTTTAGCCTGTCAGTCAGAAGTGTGCTCAAAGTAATCCTTTCAGAGCTGGTGTTACCAGTCAGTCACTGTAACAGGAAAATAACAACTTCAACTTTCACCATCCTTCTATTTCAATGCAGTTATTTTTAACTGGGAAATGGGTGTCACTGAAAGGGGCATCGCTTGCTGCCCATCCCTAATTGCCCTGGATCTGAGAGACTCGCCTTGGCCATATCAGAGGGCAGTTAATAAATATGGCCGGCAGCATCGCAAGAAGACACCTCACCACCACCTTCTCAAGGGGCAACTAGGGATGGGCTGGAAATGCTGGGCCCAGCCAGCAACGCCCACGCCCCATGAATGAATAAAATAAAAGTTAAGAGTCAACCACGTTGCTGTGGGTCTGGAGTCACATGTAGGCCCAGACCAGGTAAGGATGGCAGTTTCCTTCCCTAAACGGCATTAGTGAACCAGGTGGGGGTTTTGCGTTAATTAACAGTGGTTGCCATGGTCACCATCACTAAGACTAGCTTCATTTTTTAA